AAAAACAGCTGGCTAAGGTCCTTGGATCACTCTGCTACTGGACATGCTAGATGGACCAAACGATCTCTTCTTGCTTGTCACCGTTCTTGTGTGTTTCAGGAAACACATCATTTTCTGTGGTGGTGGGGCAGGATCCACCGTGTGTCTCTTCTTTATTACTTTGTTCTTTGAAGTGAAACTGACAATTTCATGCTTCGGAATGTCTTTGTGATAAAATGGAAATTCAGGCACTCATTCTGACCAAGTAATGGTGCTATCGGAAGACATTTCTCGGAATGCAAGCGAGCTAATTATTTGGTCAATTTCACCTTGCTGTAGAATGCTGGGAAAGCGACTGGCTCTAAGCTGTTTTTCATTTTCAAATAATTTATTGTGACATAAATGGATTTAGAGGCCTAATCCAAAGAGGCAGCTGTGATGGATAATGATGTCAAAGTGGTTTACACTGGTCTGTGGCTCATCCTGCCAGGACCGACGTCTGTCACACAGGCTCGTGCAGGGCCTTGCCTCTCCATACTCTGAACACTCTTTGTGTCCATACAGCACTGGTTCTTACAAGTGCAAAGGGTCTCTTGCAAAGCAGTTCTACAGAATGAAAAGCCTAAATGTTTTGAAAACTTATGAGTTTTTTAACTTTGAGTTTTTTAACTTCTTGAAGCCACTGTAATTTTTGGTTCTGAAAATGTCTGAAAAACATGGTATTGAACGGGAACAACCGTCACCCCAGTACCTGCTGTATTGTCAACTGCTCTGTTTCAGTCCAGCATAAGTGAAGAGACAATTTGTTTAATCAAATGTCATTTTCAGTTGTAACAAAGAGTTTCAGCTTTTAGGTTACTCTTGCAATTGAGTACTTGTAATATTGCACCTAAATGCAAGGAGTATTTGAAACATAATAGATGAGCTAGATGTTGCTGCATTAGCAGGTGATTATGTAATTGTAAACACAGTGACCTGGAAGCTGATGGAGAGGAGTAGAACTTTAGTGAATCTACACTTTTTCAGTGAGACAGGAAAATCAGAAGAGGGGGAGGTAGTGCAACATATCAAAAAGCGTATTTAGGCTCTGATTTTTTTTCATGTTAGGAGAATGCTATAGAATACCAAATACAGATGTTGATTGTAATTCACTTTACGATCTGAGGAATATGAGGAATAATGAGTTTGGCAGACACTAGGGTCAGTAAGAGGGAAATTACTGCAGGAGAATTCTGGAGAGACTGTTGTGCAGTTTTAAAGGCTATGCACAGCTGCAGTGTCTGGGGTTTCCATTCCACCTCTGCTCCTTAATTCTGCTGATCTTTAGTTTTAATGAAGATTTACTAACTTTGCAAAGGTACCCAATGTGTACCCCACCTCAGCCTTTGAAGTGGACAAAAATGTTCTGAAAAGTGGACCAAGAGCCTAGCCCAGTGAAAGGAATCATTACTGCTGTGCTAAAAGACCTAACCCATTCAGAGGTATCCAGTCAGTTTGGGAAAGGCGTGCGTAATCCATTTGTGATCCACCTGATTAAAAACATTGTTAGGTTCTGGTCCTTATCACAATGGTTCCAGGAAAAATAAGTCAATATTTGATTGAAAAGACAAAAGCAGCTTTGATTGTAATACAGTTACTATAAAGAGTTTGCTAAAAATTTGAATGGCTGCTGAGAGTTTTTTTTTTATTAGACCCTAGCAACCACATTAACCTTGAGCGGCAAATTTTCTTAGAACTGTACATGCCAGGGCGAGTTACATCAAGGGCAAAGTTCTGTCAAATGTCTCGTTATCACTGAAAATTTGTGACCCTTTCCTGTCGAGGTTCTGTTTCTTATTTTGCACACCTGGGTTCTTGGTTCTGGTAGATGGAGGGTCACGGACCACTTCTTTGGCTGTACTGTGAGCTTCTGCACAACAAATAATCGGGTCTTCTGTCCTTTCACCTCTTCAGCTTCCAAGCAGTTTGCCAAAGAGGTTTTGAAAAGCCACAACGAATACAGAAAGCAGCATCAGGTTCCACCCCTAAAACTCAGCAACAAGCTCAGCAAAGAAGCCAAACGGTGAGTAACCAGCTCTTTCCAAAAGAAGTACTGTAAGTGTGGGCAGCAATGTGGAGCAGTGTTCAGGGGCTTGAAGGTGGTGGGTTTGAATCCCAACTGAACCATTACTTTTTGTGCCCTTGAGCTACTATACTGTAGATCCGAATTCCAACCAATTTCTAATGACATCATCTAATTCAGGGTCACAGGGTCAGACTTAGAGGAGCCTATTCAAGCAAGCAACACAGGGTTTACCCTGGACGAGATGCCAGTCTATCGCAATACTTCTTCTGAATTGTTCCAGTAAAATATTGGGTGATATAAATGTGTTAAAATGAAAGTTATTTTGGATAAAAAAACATCAGTTAAATATAAACTTGTTCTTGTTTAAACCCATGGTTTCAAGCTGATCTAAAGAATATTTACAGAACAGAGGGTATGAAATACAGTAAAATCAAATGCTTAATAAGCAGTATTTTATAATATACTTTTGAGCACAAAGAGAAACAGTGCTCTAGAACAATCACCGTTCTTTCTGAAACAAGATGTCTGATGTCTAGTGTATGAGTAACGAGCACTTTTTTAAAATAATATTGACGGAGGACATTTGTGTCTCCTAGCTCTGACATTCATTAATTGTTAATTCCAAAGTGCTTTTGAAAGAGATGTATTATACACAGGTACCCTCTGGAACTACTTGAAAAGTACATTCTCCTGTTCAGCACTGTAAGACCGGTATAGTGCTGATAGCCGGAAAAGGGTACATTTGACTCGATGAATAATTCTTTTCTTTACAGACTGTGATCTGCTACTCACTCTGGTCATTTCTTTGTGTTGTAGGTGTGCTGGGTAATCCGGTATTGCAGTAATTATAGCTTGTTACCTGGATGTGCGCTACTGTGTTACAGGTACGCAGACAGTCTGGCCAGCACACGAGTTCTGAAGCACAGCCCTGAGTCAAGCCGGGGTAGCTGTGGCGAAAATCTGGCCTGGGCTTCTTACGACCAGCCAGGTGGGTGTATATATAAAGCCGGGTCTCTCTTTTGCAATTTGCTTTTGGGTGACAACTTTCCGATGCATATTCTGGAGGCAAAATCAGCTTTGACAGTTATTGACCAAGCATCAACAGTGCTAAAAAAAAGCATTTCAACTATTTTTAGAGTTTGAAAAAGGTGTAAGTTCAGATGGTTAGTAGGTCTCCAGTGTCCAGCAATAAGAAAATCAGGGGTCTTCTACCATCCTCCTTCAGGAGCCTTCCAAACTGTGAGAGGAAAGAAAAAATAATGATTTAAAATCCAAAATGCTATGGACAAAGTCAGCCCAACAGCGCTCTTTAGAAATAAACAAGGAAACGCAAAACAGAGGACATAAAAGGACATTTTGTGGAACTGCTTGTCAAACAGGAGAACAGGAGGCACTTCTTAAAGCAAAAGGTAATGGGACTGTGGAAGCAGCTGTCCAGCCCTGTTGTTGAAGCCAATACACTGGTTTCTTCCCAGAAACAATCAAGATCCTTGGATCGATGAGCTACAACTTCAAAACGAGTTGAATGAGGCGATTGAACTCTTCTCATTTGTAACCTTTATGTCCTCTGGGGGGGAAAGCTAAACTCCACTGTTTGTTCTCCAGAAAACCATGTGGAAAGAGACGAAAAGCCTTGATAGTGGGTTTGGTTTTACAGCAAAGTCTGCAAATCGGCCGACTATTCAGGAACAAGGCCGAGTTAAAAAATGGGTAATGTCTGTCATGTCTAATTGGAAGGCAATGGTCATGTTTTAATATGGAACCAAAACAGCTGAGAGACCGTGAGCCTAGTCAGGCCGAAAGACTGGAAGACTGACCTGTCTTTCTTTCCACATCTTCTTAGGAAAGGAGGTAGCTGACCGGTGGTACAGTGAAATCAAAAATTACAACTACAACTGTCCTGGATTTTCTTCGGGTACCGGTGAGTTTAGCCTACTCCCCTCCTGCCCCATCTCTGCTGTTCCCTGCTTTTCTCTGCCCTTGTTTCTAATGTGAGGTAGCTTCTGGACTGCTACTCACTGAGCAGTTTGTACATTACACGTTACACAACAACATTACACGTTGTACATTACACAACAGCATGTTGTCGCACCTCATAAGACCAGTTGACGTGTTGGGAAGATTCTCTCCCCTGTCTGTTTTGTGAAACTGTTGCCACGGAAACCTCTGTAGTGGGATGGGATGTTAGTGAAGAAGTCGCACCTGGGCTGTAACTTGACAGCGGTAACAGAGTTGTCAAATGTAATTATCTAGCTTGATTCATTGTCTGCCTGGGAATTTTTTTTTCCCCCTTCCTTGCAAACAAATGGAAGTTATTTTTAGTATCCAGACATATTTAGAGTTCTCTAAATGTAGAGAGCTAATATAATCTCGACCTCCATAAATCTCAATGGAAGATGCTGCTCTAAAAATTGCACTCTGGTGTCCTTTACATTGAGACCCCAGTCCTCAATTACTCTCGCTAAAGGGCTTGTTTCATGCAGTGCTTCTTGCTCTGTGGGGACTGTGTTCAATAAAACTGTGAGGGATAGTTTACAGAGTTACAAATTCCTTTTTAAGGCCAGCATCTGTAATGTTTATCAACAGTCCCCAATGGGTTTTTGAGTGATTCTAGTGTTAAGCGCAGAGCAAATTCCACAGTGTCTGACTCACTAACATTTGGTCATATGTCCAGACTAATGGCAACTGCTGAAACCTGTTACTGGAGTTCACAGAAGAAAATGACTGAATGCCATTTCTGTTGGAGATGAGATGCTGCATACATAAAGTGAAGATTTTGTTTGCCAACACTAGGCAGCTTAGGCCTTTTAAAGTGGAGCAAATGCAGTGCCTTGTAGGAAGTTTAATTTATCAATCTCAACCTAATCAAGATGTTAAATTCCTGCTGGTACTGACGGTTTCTTATCTCTTGCACTCTTTATCAAGGCTGGTGTGATTGCCCCCAGTACCCAAAGATTCACTCTAGGAAAATGCTTCTTTGATCGCGCGATCTGATAATGTCCAACTACATTAAGAACAGACTATGGTAAAGACATTTTTCTTACAATTTTTGTGGCATTGGGGCATTTTCTATTGGTTCATCTGCTTATGCATACCTCAAGCATTATATTTCATTCCTCTGTCTTCTCATGCCATTGTCTTTACATTAACATGTCCAGGAAATAATTGCAAGAGTGAATGAAATGCGTCTGCCCAACAAGTTTCTTTTCTCTTGGCTCAGTAATGGTTCAGTCGTTGACTGATTGAGTGATGGAAAGGTCTAATTCACCCAACTGAAGAGCTGCCTCCCCCCTTTCACCACAGGTCTGAGTGTGGATAAGACATTTTCAAATGGGAATGCTGCTGCAAGCGCACTTTTAAATATTTACTTCAGATTATTTAGTCAGTCATTTGAGCGATGCAGTATGGTTTACATCTGTGAGGCAAGCCACCCGGAGATTTCCAAAGGGCAGGCTTAGAACAGAAAAGGCAGCAGCAACGGTTCACTGCTTGTGACTCATAGCTCAGGAATTTTCTTACCCTTAGAAATGCTGGAATGAATATGTAGTGGCCATTTGTACATATTTATAGCCAGAACAAGTCCAGGTCAATTTATAGAGCAATGTAAAATATTTACACGATTGTAAAAATACAATTTTAATTAAGTAGTCTTTTAAAATTGTTGAAAGCACAAGCAAAACTATCGCCAGTCTTGGTAATGTAAGGAAATGGCGTTGTACGGAGAGAAAGATTAAGAAGTTGTTTTAAATAAGTCCGTATTAATCCAACGCCGAGAACTCATAATTTTTTGCTTTCTTTTTAATGACTTCAAACAACAAGTGAGAGGAGCTGTGGAATGGAATGGGTCTGCCTGGAAATTTTATTTTGTATAAATATTGTTTTAATTTTTCTTTTGAAAGACAAATGAAATGTTTCAGACTCTTGGCAGAGAAACAATATACCTGCTCCAAATGTAGTGTAACCAAATAGCAAGCCCTCCGATTTGACTGTAACAGCTGTCTGAGCTGTGGGTATATGGCTATCAGACAATGGAAAGAGACAAGATGTGCAGGATATTGCATAGAGCTGCGAGAATGAAATATATCGACTGGATTTCTATGAATCTACAGGAGAAGGTATCGGACTAGCCGTGGCGAGAACACTCTCGGGACCCGGGAAGAGAACATTTCTCATATGGTTGAATGGAGAAAGCCAGTTAATTCTCCCATATGATTAAGAGAGTGAAGGGAAGAAGCAGAGTTCATTGTCCCATATAGTTTAGACTAAAGGGAAATCTGGGATATACCATACAGGTTATGGACCAAGTTATGTTGGTATTTATTGTTTAAGATCTGATCCAATATATTTTAAAACCTGTTTAATATAAGTAGGGTGCAAGGACTGGAGGGCTTAGGGTGTAGATTCCTGAGAGTAATATTGGTTGTGGTCACTTTTTCTCCGCCAAAACACCCAACAACAAATGCAGGACTCGCATTCAAACACAATATTCCCACCCCTGGTTCAGGCCCAGCTAATTACAGGATCTTTAAGCACAGAATGCTGCTCCTGCTAGTTCAGGCCCAGCCCATTGCAAATTTAAATACTGGTTGCTATTTTAATCCGAACGGACTTTTAAGCTGAGGGCTGTGGCACACACAGTGCATAGGATATGCTCTTGCTTACTCGCTCCTAATCCGAATATTACAGCTCTGACAAAACATAACAATTACAGTACAGCTTTTAGGATGGATGGGGAATTTGTGTTCCTGTAATGAACATGTTGGTTGTGATTTTTATGCTGGCGATTGGGGAGGCTGTGGTTTGGGTTCTTGTAACAACAAATCCCAGATACTGCTATTGTACTCTTATGCAAACATGTAATTCACCAGAACTGTCCTGGTAAAATATTCTTGAATCACAGTCATGACTAGCTTTAATTAAGTACTGGGATTGTGACTCATGGCTGAACCTTTATTTCCAGTTTACTTGATCAATCCAGTCAAACGTTTTAATGGGTTTACCACTTTCTATAGCATGGTATTACCATGGACTTGGTCCTGTGTAAGGACTGCAGAAATGATGCTATTGTGTATGGGCTACCATACAATCTACTGGTCCTCTAGTGCTCCCTTGTTCATCACAGAACATGGGGATTCTTTCTCCCAATTGAGTCTTTCCCCCAATTTTCCATCACAGTGCTACACTGACTGGGCCCACACCTGCTCTGCAGAACCCATAGAACATCAGGGCACAGCTGGGTTCACTGTGATCTTTCTTACAGCATTACTGTGAAGTTTCTGTCAAAGCAGAAGCGTTTTGCCCCTTTTTGATGTTGCCATATTATAGAATCCGGTAATTGTTTAGACTTTTTCTCAAACCATTTTTTTTTCCTGCTGCCCTGCCAGGGACGCATTTTTTTTTTCCTCATTTTTGCAAAGTCTTTCAAAAGCCTCTCCATTGTAAGGTTTCCAAATCTGTACAACAATTACAATTGAACCCTCAGAGCACTCATTTACAAGACAATGGCTTTCATTGGAGCTGGCGATTAGAGGATTAGTGTGTAATAGCCAAGGCACTAGTGTCTGGCTTAGTTCTTAATAGACTATTTCCCAGCAAAAGCATGAAATGTAAATGGAATGAGGATGTAATTTGCTGTGAAGACATTGAGTAATACCTGCAATTTCCTTCATAATCAGTTTTATATCTGCCATGAATATGCTTTGCATGGCTTTAGGGGCTTGAAAGCAAAAATAAGACTGCATTGAAGGAGTGAAGAGATGGATGAAATGCTGTACACACTCCCATTATAGGGAAATGAGAGTACTGTCCCCCAATACTATCAATAGTTCACAAAAAACAGTAGTCTTATTATGGACCTTTTGGTATTCAAAAATTACATCCAAACCCTAGGAATGTGTCCTAACATGCACAGGGGCTTATAGTGTAATTTGGTATCTGCTCTCTTTTGAAGATTTTGAATCACAGTTTGCATTAATATTGGTACATCTATGATTGCTGGCACAGTGGCCAGAATTGCTGCCTCCCAGCTCTGGAATCCTGGGTTCAGCTCCTGGGGTGCTGCCTGCATTAAATTTGTATGCTCTATGCCTGTTTGTTTGGACTCCCACAGTCCAAAGATATATGGGTATTTTAATTTGCTTTTGTGAAACTTTTACCCTGCTGTGTGAGTGTTTGTGTCTGTGTGCGATGGGCTGGGGTCCCATCATGGGTGTACCCTGATTTGCGCCTGTTGCTTGCAGGGATAGGCTCTGGCTCCCCAACATAGTATTCAATAAGCCAGGTAGAAAATGTAAGTGCAAGTAATATTGTACACTCAAAAAGGGACATTTAAATATGACTAACTTACAAGTACACATTTTCCAGATCCCTGGGTATGACTAGTGATTCTCACTAGGGTTACCCCCATTTTCTAAAACTTCACCTTGTTTGGCAAACTGACTTTCTCCTAGTTTCACTGGGTGTCCTTAGTGCCATTTATTTATATTGTGCTGTGCCCTTTAAACTCTTAAGCACAGGGGGGTGGGGAGGGACTGGGCACAAGTGTGGACTGCTTTGTGTGTCTGCTACAGATTAGGAGGCACCCAAGTGGTGGCTGAAGTATGAAACAGCCCACGCAGTTATACATTATTGAAACCAATAATAAAGCAACTGGATGAGAGAGATGCTTGTAGCAATTGATTGGCCGCATGGGCTCCTGCCATTTGTAGTGTCTCCTATGTCTTTTTATTTCCAGAGTCCATTTGTTTTTAATACTGAGTGCTCTAAAATCCTTGAGGTGAAAAGTACTCTATAAAAATGACCCGCTATCATCCATTCAAAAGCCATGTTGATTCGTGTGACAATGCTCTGGCTGGTGCTGTGGATATCTGTGGATATGAATGCCCGTTGTTGGTTTTTACCACACACTTTCTCCTCACTGGAAACCAAAATGAGCGAGTCAGTCGCAAAGATTGCAAAAGCGGTGGCACGCATGATGTGCTCTTTAGTTCCAGTTCAACCTCTTATGACCGAACCTTTCATCAGGGTGGGGTTTCCCAGTTACTCATCCTCCATCTGTCTGGAACCTCTGAGAGTGACTTCAGCAGAAAACCCCTGACAGAGGGCACCAGCAACGCACTTTTCATGCCAGACATCCTGTGTGTGGGGTCCCGCGCAGGAAAGTTAGTCATACTGGATAAAGGACAGATGTGTCCCTTTCTGTATCATCCTTTTATTTACCACACTTTGTGCTGCTCCTCCTTTTAACCTCTGTTTTCGCTCTGCCTTGTCGTCTCACTTGCTGACGCCTTTCCTACAGGAACTCTGTTCATGCTCTGGCCCCTTCCCCCTCTGTCTCTCGCCATCCTCTCCCGTCTCCTGGCCTGCAGCCTCACTCCCTCCCCTCTCCCCACGCAGGGCACTTCACCGCCATGGTGTGGAAGAGCAGCAGGGAGCTGGGCGTGGGCAAGGCCACGGCCACCGACGGCTCCACTTTCGTGGTCGCCCGCTACTCCCCCGCGGGCAACATCGTCAACCAAGGCCAGTTCGAGGAGAACGTGCTGCCGCCCAGGAAATGACCTGCATTTCAGGGAGGGGTGGGGGTGGGGGAGCAGAATTGATGGACCATTGGGTTAACGGAAATGACACCCGTGAGCTTTGGAATGTGAAGTTTGTAATGAACTCCCTTAGCAGTCTGGGCCATCGTGCAGGACACTTACCTAATAGATTCGGGCTTTTTTGGGTTAAAGAAGTCGGGGACAAGGACACACCTGCCAGCTTATAGTGTTTAAAACATCCAGTCCTAGTGGTACCTTCAGTGGCACTCTACGGTAGCCAGTTTATAGGCATGTACAAATACATTTACCCAAGCGGAGGGTTGATTACAAGTTTAATTGTTTTTTAATGTGTTCTATGTGAATGAAAGGGAATAATGAGTAAGCAGTCTAATGGTACAATGAAGAAACCATCTAATGGACAAAACATACAATTTTTAAAAATAATTGATCCTTAATCAATGGCAAAGTGAATTATGAAGGAAGCATAGGTATCAAACAATATGAAGCTGCACTCATTAATACCGTATGCAAGTGGAAAGATGGCATATCCTAAATATTCTTTCACTTTGCCCCTGTAAAACTCCACTGACTTGATGATGGGATCACGAAGGGGAATGGTATTTAAAACTGTTTTTAAGTTTGTGTTAAAGCAGTTTTGCTTGCAGAAAAAAAAGTTTCCTCAGTCGTTATTATAGTCCCATAGTTTGGGATGGAGAGCAGTGTTGCCTGGGTAGTTAGAATAAAATTCACTGGGCCCATTTCTGTGTGTGTGAACAGCACACAGGAGCAAGTTCAGCTGAAGACCAAAGCCTCAGATCCTGACATCAAGGCAGGCTGTGCTGATACCTGGGCATTACACATTGGGTGCTGGAGTCTGGGCTGGTTGCCAGTGTATCATGTTTCTGCTGAAGATGATGGAATGGCAATGCCAGCTGACTCCTGTTTACTTGTAGTAAAGCTGCACATGAAATTGCATTATTTTCAAGTCAAGAGTTGCAGTACCTGTGGCGTTTCGCTAATGATGTTTGATGTTGCATCATTTCTTATGTATTTTATAGTGGAAAACTGAGATCATTTCTCTGTCAGTGGTCAAAGCTTTTGAAGTGAATTCTGTAATTTGACAATCCTTTGGAAGCAGTATGGGTAACTACTCTGCCTGGTACTGTCTGCTATTGACCATTCAATAAGTGTATCCATTTTGTAAATGTTTACCCATCATCACCTAAATGGAACAGCTGGATTTCAAATAAGTTTTTCATGTACTATACTTCCTGGTTTGGGATATGATGTGTACCTTTTTCAGCATAGGGGAAAAAATGAAGTAAATGGCTTCCTATAAAAACATTTTACTGAGCTATTAATGGCATCTGAGCTTTTTTTGTGAATGTATAATTCACCTAATACAAAACACTTGAGTCATTCTGAGAGACAAATTTCTTTATTACCTTTTTTTTACTCTTCTTTTTGCATAAAGTACACTTGTGAAATAAACCAAACATTGTTTACAGCTTGTGTTGTTCACGTCTTCTGCTCATGTCATGTTGGCTGGGGTCCTTTCTTCACTGAAATGCAGTACAACTGTCTGTGCAACACAACTACACTGTCACACCATGATGCTTATCCAGGAGAATGACTTATCCAAACCAAGAGGCCAGGCAGGGCTGCATTTGTCAGCCTACTGATAATTTTGTCTTTGTAAGGCTAGTCTGACTGTGTATTCAGCTTCTGAGAAACTGTGTTGTCAGACCACTGAACTGTGTTTTCCCAGACTCTTAATAGACTTATTCCTGCACTCAAGAGCAAGGGGGAACTTTAAATGATAAAACCATAATTTCCTGTGACAGTCCCATTTCAATGTAAAACATGCAAAAGAAAAAGTGAAAATCAGATTTATTCTTTAGAGTATAACAGCATTTCAGAGGCTCCAGCCAGACCTGAGGCTATTTTTGCTGCAGTAATACCAGTGAGACGAATCAAAGCAGACAGCTGTTCACCAACTTTCCGAGGGGAGGGTGTGTGCGCGGGTTGGGGTGACAAAGAACACCTGTCAGGAAGTACTGTATGTGCAGCCCCCCGGAAGAGAGAGGGGAGGGCCAGCCTGTTGGTCTGGTCGAAGCGAAGAGCCAGGAGAGACTCTTCTTTTCGGTTGAGTAAAATAAAAGCGTTGCGGTTCAATGCGTGTTTTTTTGTTTCTTGAAAGTAATCACCTACTCTAGATGAAAGAGCTGTTTAACGGGTGACTTGTGAAAACTGGAATAACAGCATAAGTAATAAACATACAGTACTGTATATGTTTTTGCCAAAGTGGTCTGAGTACATCTTCAGTTTAATGCTCCTCTCTTTTCTAATATGAATTAAACTGTAGGAGAAGAAAGTGTCTAAAGAAGCTGATAATTAGAATATGCAGTGATTGTGCTGGTTACAGCCCCTTTACTTCACAGCTGTTGGGGCCTGTGTGCGATTCCAGACTAGGGTGCTTTCTGTGTGGAGTGTGCATGCTACTTCCTTGTACAGTTGGTTTTCTCCCTGAAGCTCTTTTTAATCTTTAAAGGATACCTTTCTATTATCAGTCCTCTGATTTGTGGTGTTGGAGCGAAGTTCCTTGTTGGGCACTGTGAAATGCTTACCACGAACTGAAAATATGAATAGAACTTTTTTTTTCTCTGATTAAATTTAAAACTCCATTGAATTGACTAGGTAAGATGGGCATCATTTGCTTATACTGTACTAAAGGAATGTGTATTCAACAAAGTCCACAAGAGCCATGGGCTAGAGACTGTGGCCACGAAGTCGCTTATAAATTTACATTGCATATGCAACTGCTAAGTTACCCCTTGTGTGAAAGTAATTCTCAAGACAAATCATTAACAACTTTACAGAATATTCCATCCTTTTTTTCCAACCACTCCATTCAGTACAAGGTTGTGGGAAAGGAACTGGTATTCAGGTACCAGTTATAAAAAAAATCGGTAGCGCATGTAAAATTGAAATTTTGCACAGTGTCAGTGGTGACGGTCTCAGAAGCCCCTATTGCTCAGTGGAGCTTTTCAGGAGTGGTAGACCTTGCCTGTGGTTTGTCTTTGTATGTCAAATGTCTTCCTTCATGATATCTGTTACACAATAGGTGCGTATGTATATGTGCTGTCTACATGTTCATATTGAATGTAGAGAATGGTGATTTTTGTTTGTGCATGTTTTTCAAAACGTTTATACAGGCTTCTGTGGGATCACATTTATCCTTCCTGATGCTACAATGTTGAGATTAGCTGCTACAGCTTACTGTATGTATGTCTTTAATTGATTTATATAGTCGATATAAATTTTGAACATTTCACAGACTTAAATGGGGAAAGGGACATTATTCAAACATGTCAGTGGGATAAGATGGTGGCTTAAAAAAGCAGTAGAGCAAACTATTTTGTGGGTGCAATACCAAGAAAATTGGTAGGTGCAACTGCTGCAGCTCCTGTAGCCAAAGTTGGACTCCAGTGCCCCTTGGTGGCTAAAAGTAGAATTGCACATGATCAGTTCTTTATTTTCTTTATGTTCTTTATTTATTTATGTCTGCAAAGCCAGGTTCAAGTTTAAATTTCACGTTTATTTGTCATTCCAGCCATATACAAGTATACAGTGGAACAAAATATTGTTCCTCCTGGTCCACGGTGCAAATACAGGCAAAACAGACAGGACACTGACCTAGACATTGTAGACAGGATACACATAGTGCAAAGTGCAAATTAGGAAAATAAATAATACAATATACTCAACACACTGGGGGGATTTAAACCCTGTTTCTGGAAGTAGATTCCAGGGTGTTGAGGAGCCTGACAGCCTGTGAGAAGAAGCTGTTACTGAGTCTGGTTGAGCTAGCCCGTATATTGTGATATCTTTTTCCAGATGGTAGGAGGGCAAAGAGTTTATGGGAGGGGTGGGAGGGGTCATCTACTATACTGGAGGCCCTGTTTAAGCAGCGGTTGTGATAGGTGACAGAAATGGAAGGGAGGGATCCAATGATCTTTTCAGCTGTTTCCACAATTTGTTGCAGGGTCTTGCGGTCTGAAGCGTTTTCCCAAACCAAACAGTGATACAGCTGGTCAAGGTGCTCTCAATGGTGCTTCTGTAGAAAGTGACAACAATGGGCGGGGAAGGTTTGCCCTCCTCAGTTGCCGCAAGACGCTGCTGTGCTTTCTTGGCTAGGGAGGTGGTATTGAGGGACCAAGTGAGGTCATCTGTAATGTGTACACCAAGAAACTTGGTGCTTCTAACTGTCTCCACAGGGGAGCCATTGATGTACAGGAGGGAGTGATCAGCGTGGGCCCTCATGAAGTCAATGATGATCTCTTTTGTTTTGTTTACATTAAGAGATAGGTTGTTGTTTGTGCACCGGTCCACTAGTTGCTCCACCTCCTCTCTATATGGTGCCTCATCGTTGTTACTAATGAGGCCCACCACTGTCATGTCATGCTGGAGATGTTATTACTGTACCGATCTGGACTGTCTGAGGTCTCTCAGTCAGAAAGTCCAGAATCCAGTTACAGAGGGAGGTGTTAAGGTGCAGCAAGTTAAATTTTTCTGTCAGCTTCTGGGGGATGAACTGAAGTCAATGAAAAGCATTCTTACATAAGAGTCATTCTTATCCAGGTGGGACAGGGCCAGGTGAAGGGCAAGAGATACGGCATCATCAGTAGACCTGTTGGGGCAGTATGCAAACTGAAGGGGGTCCAGAGGGTAGGGAGTCTGGACTTTATGTGGCTCATGACTGGCCTCTCATGAAGCACTTCATGATAATTGGTGGGAGTGCCACAGGGCGATAATCATTGAAGCAGGACACGGCTGACTTCTTCGGCACTGGTATAATAGTGGTGGATTTGAAGCATACGGGGATGACTGCCTGGCACAAGGAGATATTAAAAATTTCTGTGAGGACGTCAGCTAACTGGTCTGCCTGTGTCCACTTTATATGTCCAGGCTGTGGTCACTGAGCCAGTCCTCTCTGTCCAGCCAAGTCTGCTGGTGTCACACAGTTTCTATGGATAGGTTGTGGTCACTAAGCCTGTCCTCTCTGGGCAGCCAGGTCTGCCTGCGTCACTCAGTTTCTATGTCCACTCTGTGGTCATTAAGCCTGTACTGTGCCAGGGTCTTTGTCTCCTTGTTGTCTCTCCCCCTAGCCAGATACAAGGATTTGCAGTCTTTTTAGGGTCTAGTAACATTCTCTTTTCTGTTACATGTCTCAGTAGGTGAGGTAGAATTGTCTGGCTTCTGCTGTGACTAGATTGACTCTGAATTGTGTTTTAACAATGCTATCCTGAGGCTGGCTGCTGTTGGTACGACACTCATTTTCTGCTGTTTTACATGGTAAAGCTCACTTTATAGCTTCTGCGACATGGAGCAGAAATGAATAAAAGTGGAGACATCGTAGAAGGACTGATGTGTGGTTTTATTCTCAGGAGAGGCCACGTTCCGGACTTGTTTAACTGACATATAAATCACTGATTCCTCCACCAGCATCACCTTTGAAATTGTTAAGAAATATTCATAGCTGGTTGTTCAAGCACCGATACTGTAAGAAGCATTTATATCAGTGCTGTTCATTTCTCCACAAGAATGACTATATTATAGTCTTGTCTTATGTTTTTACTGCCCAATCTATATATCACCTTTTTATTTAAATCTGCTTTGGAGAGAGGATGCCAGACCATCATCACATATCCTGTCATCTTTGAAAAACAGACAGTGCTCAGCACAAATGATCTTTTGTCCAGATACTAGTGCTATAGAGAGATTGTTTTTCTAGCACATATACTGTACAGAACCACATTTCAGAAATGCCATCTGATCCGTTATATTCTATCTTTGAAAAGATAAGATGGAGTAAACCTTTTTATCAAGAAGAGGCCATTTGGCTCATCTTGCTTATCTGGAAGTTAATTAATCAGAGAATCTAATCTTGCTGTTTCTAGAAATGGACCAAGGTGGCAGATTCAGCATCGTGGCTTGCTCCAGACTTCCACAGCCCTGTGTAATGAAATGCCACCTGTTCTCAGTGTTACAAGCAGTTCCACATGTAACCTGTGTCCTCTGGTTCACATTTCACTGCTAAATCTGAAGAAATCCACAGGGCTTTTTTTGCAGTTTGGCCCCAGTTCTAAAGAAAAGGCAAGGGTGTGTAATTCTTGTCCTGGATGCCCGGTATGTCTGTAGGCTTTCTAGCTCTCTTTTAAGGAACAGCAACTGTAGATCTGGCAGAATTTTTTTAATTGGTCCAATAAAGCCATAAATTAGCTGATTTACATTGTTTAAAAAAGCCGAGCTGGAATGAAACCCTACAGATACGATTCCAGGAACAGGACTGGACTTAAAATAACCGTCTTCACTTCAGCCACTAGGTGGCAATGTTGGTTTTTAGATTCAAGAAAACCTCTAAGACTCCGGTCCCCAGAACAACAACTTCAGCAACGTGACTACAAGATTTTTAACAACAGCGGAGTCAGAGACAGCACAAGCAGTA